CTCTCTCTCTCTCTCTCTCTCTCTCTCTCTCTCTCTGTGTCTGTGTGTGTGTGTGTGTGTGTCTGCTAGATGTTAATCAGCGAAAAGACATCGTCGTGAGCTGTGCTGCAGGTAGAGTGGCCTGAAGATTTTCTCCGGCTATGATGCCGAACAGGTAAGCCCCGGGTGAGTCCGCTCTCCCTCAGAACCTCCTGGCCCCTCCTCCCTGTCCTCCTACCTCGTCTACTCTAGCCTATCGCAGGTCATCTCCAACGCTGATCCAGCAGCGTAGTTGCGTGACTCCCAGAATGCTTTGTGTCCTGAATGGAAGCTAACCCAGCTTTATATAGCGCTGGGCCTACTGGATCCTACCTTGGGCGGTGTCCTGGGCCATTTGATTGTACTGCCAATCAATGGTCGAGGATGCAGGCGCAAGTCCTGGTCCTGAGTTCCGGCCTAAGAACGGTTTGCCTGGGTCCCAACCGGACGTTCACGCTCCTCTGCTGCATCAGCAGAGGTGTCCTCACAGAGGACAAACCAGGGGTGGTTCAGCCCGATCTTGAGTGTGCCAGGCCAGAGAAACGGCTGCTGGATCTGAATCAGGCCATCTGGTCCAAATGAGAAATGAACCAAGAAAAACGCAGGCGACCCCCCCCCAAAAAAAAAACACGCCACAATGACCCCTACCTCAATGTTGTGCCCCTAAGGGTCCCATGCCGGGGCTCGCGTGGGAGCTGTGTTCGCGGAAATCGTCATGGCACAAAAACAGTTGTCCATTTCGTAGGCAACGACCATTTCACGTCCTACCACAGCTGGGGAATCGAGCTCTGGTCTGGCTATCAACAGTTGTGGGCATGCCATTCAGCCATATGGCAGTTTTTTCAACTTTTTTGTACTTTTTTGTTTTTTGGGGGAAGGCCCGGGAGGGGGAATATCGCCCCATGCAGAGACAGTCAGTCCACATAATGTGACCCCCCCACCCCACATAGTGTCCCCTTTACGTCTGAACCTCGACGAACTGCAATCGCATCCAAGACGTGGAAGAAATAAAGCCCTACTGTGAAATGCCCTGAGGTTTTTCTGCTTATTAGCAGTTGATTGGTGCACAGTTCAGTCTAAGGCCTTGTTTTCTTGTTTTTCCCTTGGGTGTATTGGCCACGCACGGCCAGCCGACATAGTGCCATCCAGTCCACATAAGATGACCCACCACGCGTAGCTCCATCTGACTCACATATTACACATAGTATCACCTGGGCCATGTGATACCAACCAGCACACATAGTACACCTCGGTCTACATAGCTGACCTGCCCCACATACTGCCAGCTGACCCACTTAGTATCACTCAAGTCTCATTATACCACCCTGTGGAAGGGGGAGAAGGGAACGGCAGGGGAGGAGGGGTGGGAGAAGAATGTAGCAGAGGAGAAAAAAGTGGTCTCGGAGGAGGGGTATGGAGGACCTGGATGGAGATTAGGTTTCAAAAAACGGGGAGGAGGAGGAGGAGGTGGCAGAGGGACACGGGAGAGGAGGAGGAGCAGGTGTGTGCTGTGGGTGTAGCCGCAGCGTGCCGACTTGTACAGTATAATAGTCAAATTGTTCGGAAACCAATGTCTTATGCAGTGAATTTGTACAGACCAAGGCTGTGCAGCTATGGCTGCCAACAGGCAACAACCAACAGTGAACTCTCACTCTTGGCCCTCAGGTCTCAGTCTCTTTCCCTCTCTCTGTGAAGGTCTTCTCTCTTCCTCACCTATGGTACGCTACAGCTACGACGACAAGCGCCTGTTGACCGCAGCTACTCTGCGCCTCACTTCCTGTCTCATTTGTCGCTGGGGCACACTCCTGCGCAACATTGCTTCCGCAGCAAGCACGAATGAAATGGAATGTCGGTGGCAACTGCTGATTTCCTTTTGTATGTGACAATTTCTCTGGCTTGGGTTAGTTGGCCTTTGACCTGTCCGGGATGTGCACTGGCTTTCCTGGGGCCTGGGAGGCTGATGTACCTAAGACTGGACTGGACTCTACGAACGTACCGGGTGCCTAACTACCGGACTAAGCTAGAGTCGGCCTATCTTACCTACCGGACGGACCCTAAACTACCGGAACTCTTTCCTGGACTGGATTCGAACGAGTGCCAGACCCTACTCTGGACCCTTGACACTACAGTGCCGACATGCAGGTTCCTTGCAAAGAATTTAACAAAGAGGAAGAGAGAGGAAGAAGAAGAGGAAGAGGCTTCTCGTTTGTTTGAAGATCTATCTTCTAAAGCTACCAACACTCAGCTGCAAGGTTGATGACATGGACAATGATAATGATGGAGAAGACGAGCAGCAGCTAGCAAACTTGGCACGTGTCGTTTTCCCAAGTCTTCAGAATTATGGAAATACACATTTGCAATTTTTCAGTGTTGCTATTGATGCAAGTGCTGGTTGCCCTACTAAGCCATTGTCACAGTTCTTGGACATATGCTGGAGTCTTGTTGGTTTTCTCTCATCGTAGTCCTTGATATATTCCTCTGTCCAGTGGCACACGAACACAGGTTCCAGAGTGGGAGGTTAACCTGGGAAAGTACGTCTGGTGAAAGGCGAATCAAACAGTTTTGCAATGTCCTTTGCATCCTCCAATGCTGATTGGGTGATAGTATCGTCAACTCAGCAGCCTGCTTTGTCTGGTCAAAGGCTCTACCGAAATAGTTCTGCAATGTCGTTTGCACCCTTGTATGCCCATATGGTGGGGGGCATTTGATAGTATCATGAACTCAGCAGACTGATACCTAATGAGTCACTTCGCCATGCAGATGACGGATCTCTTCTCGGGGAAGGCATTGGAGAAGAAACTTACGCTGACTATTGATTTGCCATCAAAGGAGGACCTTGTTGTTAAAGGAGACCCTGCAAGACTGCGGCAGGTAAAGTAATGCCAAGAACCTTCGAGTCCGCCCAACAGGGGCCTCAAAGGAAAGATTTACAGGGAGAATATGAAGGAACGTCACAGGGTTTGCGAGGTGTGGTGTGCTTTACATGCAAGCGGCAGGGGAGAGAGCGTCAAGAAGGTTGTGAGATGCTTTACGCCCAACAGGATGGAAGGGTGAGGGATTGCAAAAGATGCTTTTTATGCCTGTGTAAGGTGAGGGGGCAGCCGCAAGATGTTTAATAAGCAATCAGGGAAAGTCGGGGGATGGGGAGGGGGGCTGTCGAAGTGGATTGCATGTTGTTTAGTAAAGTGGGCAGGTGGAGGGAGCTCACGAGATGCTTAACAGGAGGGCAGGGGAGAGTGGAAGTGTTGAAGGGGATTGCAATCTGCTTTGCACAGCAGTCAGGTGGGAGTAGCAGGATTGCTGTGGACGCGGTGGGGGGGAGGGCGTGGGGGGGGAGGGGGGTTGTCGCAAAAATCCTGTAAACACTACTAAACAGCAGTTTAGGCAAATCTGTTTCGGATTTGGTCAGGGCTTGATCCCTGGACTGCATGCTGGGTACTTTTGGTTTATTTTGCTGCCACGTCCATGGTACCAGAAAAGTTGCATTTTGTCACACACACGTTTCCCATTGGTGACTTATTCTCGACTTATTCTCGACATACCCCTGAGACCAGCCTGGCCATTAGGCTGCTCTCAGGTATGTGCACTGGTCAAACATCTTTGTGGCATCTTGCTGCTGGTACTCTTCCGAGTCAAGTTCTGCATGGGATTGCAGGTGTGAGTGTGTGTCTGTGTGTGGTGACTCCCTCTCACTCCTCCCTCTTCAAATCATGTGCTGGTTGCAGGATTACAAGATGCTTCATACGTAAGGGGTAAGTGGGAGCCTCGAGGGGAAACAAAGATGCTTTACGCGCATGGGCGGTGCAGAGTGGGATTGCAAGATGCTTTACCTGTGAACTGGTTCAGTGTGGAGAGCGCAACGGGTCTGTTGCAAGATGTTTTACATACAAGTTAGTGTGGAGGCGGTGGGGGGTGTTGCGTGGGGTGGGGTGGGGGAAGGGCAACAGACATTACACGTGAGTGGAGGGGAAAAGTAAAGGGGGAGTGCTGGGGGAATCACTTGGTTCTTTACACAGGTTGAGGGAAAAGGAGAGAGTCAAGGAGGGTGGTGGGCCTACATGATGCTGTCCATGGCTGAGGGGGCGTAGGGGAGGGATGGGGAGTGCCGGCGAAGATGCAACAGCACGGGGCTTGGGAGAGCGATCTCGTGAAGGAAGGAAGGGCGAGGGACAGGCGGCTGCAGGTTGAGGGTGAGAGAAGAGGTAGTGGGATCAAACATGGAAACGAGTGGGGACACATGGATGTGGCAAGGGTTGTGGAGAATCAAGGGAGATCAGGCATTTCACGTGAGTGGAGGAGAAAAGAAAAGGGGTTGTGCTGGGGGGATCACGTGAACGAGTGGAGACATGGATGTGGCAAGGGGTGTGGAGAATCAAGGGAGATTTCAGAGAGGGGTGGGTTGCAAGATGCTTATATGCAAGTGGGTTTGTAGGCGGTGGGGTTGCTTTGGGGGGGGGGGGGGGGGGGGGGGGGGGGGGCAACAGACATTTCACGTGAGTGGAGAAGAAAAGAAGAGGACGGAAAATATGAGTGTCAAGGAGGTTGGTGGATGCTTTGCATGTGAGAGGGGGGCATTGGGGAGCGATGTGGAGTGTCGGCGAAGATGCAACACCATGGGGTGTGGGAAAGTGGGCTCGTGAAGGAAGTAAGTGCAAGTGACAGGTGGCTGCAGGTTCAGGGGCAGAGGAAAGGTAGGGGATCAAACATGATTGGACACATGGGTGTGGTAAGGGTACCCTGAAATTGGCTCTTTTCTTCTCAGGTACACTGCGAGGGGTACCTGAGAAGAAAAGAGCCAATTTCAGGGTACCCTTACCACATCCATGTGTCCAATCATGTTTGATCCCCTACCTTTCCTCTGCGCCTAAACCAGTTTCCAAAGAATCCTCCAAAGAATCCTTGTCAGATCAGCGTTTCAACATTCGAGCAAGGGAGGATTCTTTGGAAAAAGAAGAATTATGGCAAGAAATCTGATCTGACATCATTTCCCCCACTTTCATTTACCAGAGTAGCACTCAACATACTACTGGTTGAGCCGGGTCTTTGAAGTTTGAACTGATTATGAGAAGAGGATTCAGGGGGGGGGGGGAGAAAGGCTTTTTTCATCCGTTGTAGTATGACCAAGTTGTTTGATCGATGTTCTGAACACCATTAGGGTCGCTGAGATTCTGAATGACATGCAAAGGTAGACCGATTGAATGATGGAGAGAAAGTCGGAACATCGTACAAGCGTGTCAACATTTGAGCAAGGGAGGATTCTTTGGAAAAAGAAGAATTATGGCAAGAAATCTTATCTGAGTCATCTGACATCATTTCCCTTGTGTTGTGCATTCCTGCCGACAGATCATATCGAACTTGATATCAAACGCTATTAAGTTTACTGAGAGTGGTGGGATCAGCATAAAGTGGAAGAGGGCAAGTTTGCCGATTCTCGACCATGTTCCAATTGAGGGTGAAGGTGATCAGTTGAAGTGCAAGTCGGAAGAGCCCAAATATGGTAGTGAAGTGCCCGAAAGAATCGCAGCAGGCCAAGAGAATATCAACAAGCAGAAAGACATTCGGAATTACAGCTTGAGAGAGCTTTGGAGTTGTGGACGTGGGGCAATCTATTGTCCGGACACTACAAAGCTGCACTCTCTGGGACGCAGCAATGGGCCAAAGGAATGTCCTGATCCCTATCAAGGATGCAGTGCAGAAACCAAATTGGGCAGCAAAGTGGATGAAAGAGGAAAATACATCAACGAACATAATCCAATCCAGCAGAACCAGAACACAGGTGCTGGACAGGCAGGAAAGACAAACAGAACAAGAGATACAGTCGTGGATATGGCAGACAATGACAGCAGCAACGCCAATGGAGACAAGTCCCAACGAATATGGTTTGACATCAGGATTTCTGACACCGGGGTTGGGCTGAATCCATCTCAGATGTCACGACTTTTTAATTCCTTCACCCAAGCAGACAGCAGCACTACAAGAAAGTATGTTCATGCCCTCTCCTCTCTGCTGTTCTTTCTTTTCGTCACAACCTGAAATTGAGACAGTTTATACTTCCTCTTCATTTGGAGGAGATGGGACTTCTCTCTGTGGCATGTTTTTTCCTCTCCATTTGCCTTTTCTTTCTGTTTGTGGTTTTTGTCATCCTTTCACTGGATGTGCTTGGTTACTTGGTTTGCTCCGCCATGTGTTTTTTGTCTTTTAATTTGTCTTGAATGTCTTCTCTTGTCCTCGGTTCTCTGACTGAATGTGTGTGCTGACTCGGTTTGCTCTATAAGTTTACTTCCAATGCAGAGCAGTCTGAATGACAACGCCGCATTTTAAATTTGAAAGAGCAGCCTTATCATTATCCTCTGCTACTTACTTCGGACGTAAAGTTACTAGTTAGCCACCCCCCTCCAATCAAGCACAGGAAATACGGCTGGGTGTTGGAAGCCACGGTTGGCTGGAGAACAGAGAGGATGTCATGGCCGAAGTCGATAGAAAAAATTGCAGATACAGCAGGTGGGAGCCAATAGTCGGCTCCTTATCCAGGGCAGGCCTTCAAAGACCGGCACGTACAACCACAGCTTAGCACTGGCTGGCACAGATAACAGGATCTAGGAAAGGATGCCATAACCATAGTTGGTAAATCATAGGGGTTGTTGCCATAACACTACTTAGTAGAACATAGGGGTTATTGCCGTAGTCATGATTGGTAGGCAGTGTTGTCACGCCGGGATCCCCGGGGCCCAAGCCGGGGTGGGGGTTTCACCCCCGAAACCCCGCCAC